TTGGCTATAATGTGTTGCATTTTTTCAAACTAAAAAAAACAATTAATTATTTGTTATTTATAAATATACTTAGTTGATTTTTACCTGTACAACATCTTTTCGTTCTGAACGCATATATGGGTACACAGTTAAAAATATACACAATGTTAAGAGATCTATAATTCCAGCAAAAACTCTGTCCTTAACTTCTGGAGTCTGATTTATTGGTTCTTTGGCATTCAAAAGACCTTGACAAAAGGTCAAAAAGTTGAAGTCAGATCGAACTTGGCGAGATATTTCTCTTAAAAGTCCACGTAATGGTCTCAAATAATCATCTCGTAATATCAATAATTCCTAGTTATAAATTCAGATTATTGGTATAAGAGAATAATTCTAAAATATTTTAAAAATTCAACCTGAAAAATATCAGCTAAAAGTGTTGCACTTGAATCTGGTTCAGCTTTGAAAATAACTTGAAAAATTGCCATATTATTAGTATTCCGTGAAGTAGACATTTCATTATAAACTACATTTTTTAATATAACTGACAAATTATTTGAATTTGCGGTAATCAACTCTCTAACAAAAAATAAATATTAATTGATATTACTGAGAAATTTTTGACTTAAATTCTAGTTATTTATAAAAATAAAAATAATAGATAAGAAATTAATAATTATAAAAAAATAAAAAATTTTAGTTACTTGACACATGATACATAAAAGTTGCCCATGGCCTTTGTTTTTAATCTCATCTTAACTATAGTTGAAATAACATCAAAGTCTCTTTGTGTACGTGATGTACAATTAACACAAACTGCTAAAAGTAATTCTTGAGCTGGCCGTGCAAGCTTAGCATTTTGTAACCAAACTTCCAATTTTCCAGCAACCATAACACGAATCTAAAATTACAATTTGTAATATCTATAGAATGGTATTAATTGTAATAGCTAACCTCCAAAATTCCAGCAGCAACAGATAATAATTTTAACAAATTCCTAGATATTCCTTCAGTTGATTGTCTTCTGATTAAATACTCTTTGGCAACATCTAAAATTATATTTTCAATTACTGATTGATTTGCTCCATATCTTGACATAATAGAAACTTCATTAGAATCTGGTAACAATAATGCTGTTTCTGTTGTACTCATAGTATCCAAAAAATCCAAAGGAATAAAAGGTGAAGTACGTGTATTTAAACTAATTTTTATGTTTTCAACAAAATATCGACATTCTTCATTATCTACCCACAAGCGTTCTCCCATAGAGTCTTCTACGAAAACCTAAAATTTGTTTAAAATAAATAAATAAATAATAATACTACTTACAAAAATATTTTAATCAGGGTTTAAGAAATTACTTTAACAAATGCTTCTGGCCAAAGAACTAATTTATCGTGTGACACCATTAATAAATTAACAGAAGTAACTGCAGCTACTATGTTATATTGACGTTGTTTAGTTGAAGCAGTTGAATGACATGTAAGGATGGAGCACAAAGCATTTATAATCTCTTCATTATGAAATAATGTAGGAAATTGACGAGCAGCAATTAATAAACTCCAAAATAATTCTGGTTTTAATCGCTGTGTATGCATGATTTTAAAAGCTCCAAAAAGTAATCCAACCTGAAATTAAATTATTTATAGTTGAATAATTCAATACGTGGCTTGGCGTGGTGCATTAGTTACTACCAGTCGTGGAACGCGACTGGGAGTAAATAACGACCACAGCTACTAGTTCCGGGATGGGTGACCACCCAGATTCATAGTGGTTAAAAACCTTGCCACACAAACATGTGTTTGCTATCAACCGTAACAACCTTTAAAAAAAAACCTACCATACCAATCTTACCCCTAACCACAGTTCATAACCCCTACAACATATGCTAACGACCAAGTTGTCAAAGCGGAAATTGTATAAATTTCAAGATCAATAAAAAAAAAAAAAAAATTCAATACATATTTAATGAAAAGAATTATGTCAACCATGATCATTTAACGAGAGCATAACAATGAGGGTTTTAAAAGTATTATTTATACATGTAATAAACAAAATATAAAAGGTAAATTAAAATAATTTATATGCGAATAAGAATAATCAAATATTTCATGTATGTTATGTACCTATTATTATTTATATTCAAAATTAATTTAATTATAAACTTACAGCTTTTAGATTTTCTTGATTTTGAACTGAATAACTTAATGATTCAATTAAGTCAATGGAATCAACTTCAATACACATCTGTTCCCAAGCAAATGAACTATGACTTGAGCCTGCATGTTTAGTCTTTTTACTAGGTATAGCAGCTATAGGAGGTCCAGTTCGTTTTCTATCTAAATTTAAAATAGTAAAAACATATTAATACTAAATGTCGTTATAAATAATGAATAATCACAACATGTTTTAGTAATATAACTAAGTTGATATTATTTTTGAATAAAATAATAAGCTTTTGTTTTTTACAGACAAACACAACAGAGACAATTACATATGGTATTATACAAATGGTATAAAACCAATGAATTTGATTTTAATACATATTCTTTTCTACAACCATACTGTCATCTGATGTCATAGCTATTATCAGCGTCAAACTCAGATAATTAAGGAACTTACCAGATAAAGTTGATTCCATTAACTTTCTATGTAATAAAATATTACTTCCACGTTTCTCTTGTGGGTTTGGTTCGACGCGACTATTTTTCGAACCCAATGCCACCAAATCTCCAGGCAGATATGCATTTTTCGATTTTCCTCCACGACTCATTTTAAACTAAGTGCTACTTCAATTTATAATATGTAACATTCAGGCCGCAGCTAATGCTGAACGACCACACTAAGGACTCGTAGGAGCACCACCACACTAGCCGGCAAATAATAGATACTTGATTGTATCAGTTCATATTGTCATAAACAATAAAATTCGATAGTACACATGAAGTAGTAAATGGTTACTAAATAGGTTGTAATTTATAGTTTTGACGCTTTATAGGCCGTACTACAAGCTCCAAAGTATTAAGCCATTGAGTAATTATGATGCTGTAAAAATATCACACTTCACCAATCACAAATACATAAACGTCAAATGACTCAAATGTGAAATGATATTAGTATTACTGCTATATAGCATAGTCACAGAATATTATCTCAAGCCATACAATAAACAAACAATTCAAATATTCAACTATTTTTACTGATAAGATGTGGTGATAGGAGCTTAGATTTGACCAGGCGCCCATGCTTTATAGGTCAATAATTTGAGCATTATAAAAGTTGTTAATTCATCAATTAAAAAATATCAAAAATGTCAACGGAATTCGTGAAATCTTGAAAATTTTCAAATCATTTTATAATTAGAAATTCATAAACATTTTTCTTTTTATTATCTAAAATTTTCAATTTCAATAGGAATCTCGGAGGTTCTATATAAGTTTATAATTATATTTTTAAAAAAAATGTCAACTGGAAAATTAATTAGTTTTTCATGAGCGTTTAAATTTCAAAATTTATGACATGAGACATTCACCCGTAAAATAACTATTTTTGATATTTTGTTGTAATTAAAAAATGAATAACCATAAATACTTGGAAATGTTTACGTAATAAATTTCTATATACATCATAATAAAATTTTCGAAATATTTTTACTCTTTTTGAGTTATTTATTGACGTTTTAAATTTTCAAATATTATGATCCATCGTTAATATAACATTGCATTTTGCAAGTATCACACACTAGTGGAGAATCTTTGTTGATGACTGATGAGGTAGATGTGATTTAGAATAAAGGAGTGGCCTAATTTTAAACAATCGTGGTTAATAATTCTCATCTTTTAATGTAGGACTACAGGACTGTAGGAGACATCAATTTTTTAATTAACAGTTTTAGGGTCTTGAGTTTTTGGGAAGTAAGCTAAACTAATTTTTATCTTTTATGCCATTCTTCCGATATTTTTATTGAATTTTATTAAAAATTTCAGATGAAATTATAAAAAGTAATTTTGTGTAAATAAATATTAGAGGCATCGTAGTAGATTATTGTGTACCTATGCTTTTTCATTTCCAGGTATCGGACATGGGAGGGAACTTATACAATTTACTGAATTATTGATTTTGGATTTAAATTTTTATATTATATTGATAAAGTGCATTTTTAGAGTTATTTGAATGGTTTGATTGCTAAAACATCAGAAATGTATAAAGACAATATCGAAGATTCTGAACTCTAGCTCATTTTCATATCCACTTGGCGTTTATGAACGTAACTACATTAAAAAAAAATAAATAGTTCAACACTAAAGTAGGAATGTAGTTTCATAATAATATGTATTATTCATTAATATTTATAAATTATTTAAAACGATATAATAATAATTTTTAAGGATTAACTTCAATTTTATTAAAATAATTAAGTTTTTTTTTTAATATTAAAACTATTTTATAATTAGTTAAATTTATAGTTAAAGATAATACATTTTTAACTAGTTACTGCCTAACTTTAATTTTATGAGGGTTCTCAGTATTGACAGTATTTCTAATAGATTTGTTGAGAATCTTTAGTTGCCGATTGCAAAACGACCGTTGAAATTTTGAAAAAAAGCGGGGAACTTTCAAAAAAACATGAAATCGAAAATTATATAGGTACTATGATTGTACTAACTACTGAGCACGGTCTTAGAAGATATCTTCTAAGACCGTGCTAGTAAAGTAGTAATTTATAAGAACTAATCACTAGCTACTTATAAGTAAGAAGTAACTATTACACTTGTTTATTTGAAATATTTGAAAACAATCGTCAAATGATTATCGTTCGACATTCATCGGTTATATCACCTGTCACCATTTATACGTTTTTCGATTTCATAGGTTGGTACGAAATTCAAAATTCTTATCACATAATTTATCTATAAAAAATACCGCTCAAATGACAATACTTAATTTAATACTAACTAAAACTAAATAATTATTTAATATTTATTATATATTTTGTTTTTTGAATTGTTATTTACATTTTACTTTATTCTAATAATTAAATAAGCAAATAATTTACTAATAAGTAATAACTATTTTTACCTAAAAAATAGAAATTTCGTTAACCAAAAGCATTATGAGTTCAGAGCTGGAAAAAGTAACTGAAGATATTGATCGAGCAGTTCATTTACTCGATTTACTGAAATCTAGATATTTTTTTTTGAGAGCTAAATATAATATAGGTAAAGCAAATTTAATTTTAATTCATCATTAACATGATTCTTTTGTTTGAGAATAATATGTATGTAGCTTCATTATTTTAGTGTATGCCATTTTTAATTTAATATTAATACAAAACACTAATTATTGTTTGTACATTATATTTTTTAGACCTTAACTCTCAGACAGTATATACATCTAAAGATACTCAATCAGAATATCAGTATTTATCTAATGATCTTCAATCATTTATCATGCTGGAACTTCACCTTTTAGAATATGCTTGTACTTATGGTATTTATTCCATGAATATGTACGCAACTCGTCTAAAAACCAATTTAAATTACAATGACAAAGATCATTTCTTTTTAAAGTAATACGTTTTAAAATTTTACTTTTATCAATATTAATTTATATTATTTGTTTTCAGACTTCTTAAAGATCACTTACGGAGCTTAATCGAAACTAATACAGATATTAAAAATCTTTCTGTGGATTCTTACGATAGTTTTACTTCATATATAAATTCATTCAAGGTTTATGCCAATGTTTTGAATAGTGTTAATGAATCTAATATCACTCTATTAAATGAAACTGATACAAACAGGTAAGTTTGATAGTTAAAAGATTGATATAAATTACTGTTAGTTAAAATCAATATGGTATTTCACAATTCAAATTTATTATTAAATATATTAAGTAAATTGTATTGTTACTATTTATGCACAGTAAATCAGTGAGTAATAAATTGATATATTTATATAGCTGAAGAATAATATATTGCTATGACATGATACCAAGTTGCACTATTTATATAGTTTCATAAGTTTTATTAATTACGCATGTTGTTAAAAATATACCTACTACAATAATATTTTATTAAATTTTAAATATTTCGTGTTGTATTGTATTTTATCATGAACATATTTTTTGGTAGTAATTATAACTTATCCATGTGCATACAAGCTTCAACCAAATTACTTGTCTACAATGGTTTTTAAAATTTATTTCCAAGTCTGATAATTTATTAGATGTTAAATAATGTTGTATGTTAAAAAATCCTATTCACATTGAATGAAATAAGTAGATATGATAATTAAAAATAGTGTTCTGAATTTTATAGGAAAAAAAATAAGCTGATGAAGAAAATTTCAAAAATCAATTTGATGTCAAATATTATAACGCTATTTGTATCAGACTATATTTCAGACTATAAAACTGAAGAAGGACGGGCAGCTTTGAATATGAGTTTAAAGTATAGAACTCCTAGAAGTATAGATTATTATACAAAAAAATGTAATTCAAAATAATAAGAATTCTTGAATAGTTTTATTTTATGTATAATACAAATATTATTTTTTTATGTCGATATCTACAAATCCACAGTAAAAAACAAATATATTTATTTTATTGCATTTTTAATGTTTAATGTTTTTGTTTTACGTATCAATATTTTATTTGAATTGGTCATATTTTTTAAAATTGAATAGCATAAATATTATCACTAACGCTTAATTATTCTAGTTTTAATATAAACTGTACAATATACTGTAGTCAGTAAGCAAAAGCTTATAATCATAATATAATAATAAGTGGTTATAAAATACTTAATGTTTTTACTGAAATAGCATATTTTAGAATATTAACTATAAAAGTAATAACTAATAATCTTAATTTTTAAATTTTTATTATTCAAATAATTATTGATTAATGTTGTATAATAAAAGTTTTTTTTTTCAAATAAAATACTTCACGTTTTAAAGTTTCTTTTAATAGACAGATCGTGCCATTGGTTGATATCTGTTTTCATATTTTATATTTTATTTATTAAAATTTTGTACTCTTTCATTGTGTTAAAAAGTTTTATCCATACCAAAATCTCACTCTCCTCCGCGTGTCCATTGTGCTGGAAAGAGGGTAAAAAATTTCTCTTCACGTTCTACCATGTAGATAAATATTACATAGTTTTTGAACTATTACAGTTTAATATATTTGCATACCACTTTTTATAAGTTTATATTTCACAAAAAAAACTACTATTCAAATACTTTAGGTGAAGAATGTGTAAAATTAATTATTTAGTTAATTTAAATTAAAAGTTAATGAAAAATATAAGTAACTTTTAACTAACTTTATTATTTTAAAATAATTTAACTTAACTAGTTAAAAGAATTGTTAACTTACCCAGCCATCTTTGACCATTTGTACTACAACACTTCTTTAAGTAGGATTAAGTCCTAGGGAGAGGAATTCACAGCATATAAACCTAATTGTTTGTGAGTGCTGAAATTGGTTATTCAGAGAAAAAGTTAACCACACTCTCCTTAAAACTTTTTTTTATTTTTTGGTGCATCTCACCAAAGTAGTTTGGATTATAAATAAAAACTGGGACTTATTTTTAAAATAAATATTATGTTCTTACTATCAATTCTATTTCTAATTAGGTTGTTTGGTGTTAATTTTAATTGTATATCTAATCTACAAATGAAGATATATTTTATTTTATGGTCCAAATTAAGGTATTGAAATTGAAAATTGAAAACATTTACAAAATAATTTTAGTAATATTAAGAAAATTTGAACTTCACAATTATAAAAACAATTACAATTACTTATTAATATATCATCAATATTTATAAATTGCTTTAAGAACCACATATGATAAATATTTATACTTAGTATTACATTTTAAAGCTTTTTGTAAGAAAAACAAAAATATTTTAATTTAATCATAGATTAAAATTGTTTAGAAAATGATTAAATCATTTCAAGAATATTTGATAAAAGTTGCTATCAGAAATTATCCGCAGAGTTGAAGATTGAAGTAAAATTTCTATTTTATGTAAGATTATAACATGCAAAAATAAAAACATAAAATCATTGTTAACCAATATATTCCTTTCTTTCTTTAAATTTTTAAAATAGATGTTTCTATTTAAAAAAAAATGTGTAAGTTGTAATTGTATTTTATGTACCAAAAAGGTTCAAATTTCTTTGATGCATTGTTTAATAACATTTAAGTTATTAAATAATGTATTATTAAACTTATATCTAGTAAAAATATTAGAATATCATTTAAGAGATTAACAGAGTTGGATCTACTACTTTTTTAAGTCATACAACATAATAATATTAAAGCCGAGTACATAAACTGCAAATAGCAAGTCATGAATATAAATCAACACATTTGATATTAACATAATATTTTTAAATAAATAACATAGAACTTTATTATAATTTATAATTATTAATTAATCTAATGCCTAACCCATATATAAAACACAACACACACAAATATCATGATACATATACTTTTTGTCGCCAAGCAAGAGTTGAAATGTATTTTTTTTATTTATACATTTTTATGAATGAGAAAAAAATATACGGTTATATGGTCCAAATTTCAGTCTTTAAATAATTTTTATTTAGGGTAAAACATTCGAGATATCACAGTGTTAAAAAATAATAATGTAAAACCCTAACAAATACAAGTCTTGGTTGATATTTTATTACTGTGCATTTAATTTGATGAATGAGCTTCTCAAATTATACTATAATTATTATTATAGACATAGCAAGTTTAAATGTCAATACTTGTAATGAAAGATTTAAAAATAGTTGATTTAATGTTTCATTAAAATAACAACTTTTTTAAGCTAAGTCTAAACTAAAATATTTAAATGTATTTACTAATTTATCATTAATATGTCTTTTTTTCTTTTTTTAATATAACACATCACTGTCAGTTAGTGCTTCAATATACACTTCAATTAGTGATAATTTTGTTTTGTTTTAATAACATTAATTTTTCATACAAATATTCATATAGTTATTTATTGTAAATAATATTTATTTTTAAAATTACCATTTGGTGTTTGTTAATTTAAAAATATAAAAATAAATAAACAATATATATTATTATTTTTTTAAATTACTTTTTTTTAATGATTAAAATTTAAAATATTAATGACTATATCCTAACAAAAATAATATTAAATTGTATACCATGTAAAAGCTAAATTTAATAGTTTCAAAACATTAAGATGTATACCAAGTTCTCACTGTTTGTAAGACTTGGATTTTGTTTTTAATCATAAAAATAAAAAACAATATTTATAACATAATAATCACAATAATAATATTAATAATAGTAATAATAAAAATAATAATAAAAAAAAAACATTTAAACTTGCTACGTAATATATATTCATGTTAATATCAAATTGATAATTATCACCATACAAATGTATGATAAATATAATTGAAAAAATTACTTTATGCATAGTATGCATATACCAACATAGTTGAAACTAATTGCATGGTATATAAATGGATACATGTCATATGTAAACATATTCCTAAATTTAAGTTAACAATATGAATATTTCCAAACAGTCAATAGGAAACCAATTATTTATATGTGTATACAGCTGCCATTACTTCAAGCTCATCCAAAATAAAAAAAAACAAGCACTTGTGTGAATAATTTTGATCTTTAGTGTTAAACTTTAATATAAACAAAAATAAAAATTAAATATTTCTGGCTAAGTTTAAACACAATCATATTTTTTAACGGTATTTTAATAGATCTTAAATTTGAATACCAAATCCTCCCACAAAAAAAAAAAAAAAAACAATAAATCATTAAAAGTTATCATTAGGCTCATACCAAATAATGGAGCCGGTAACCAATGTTAAGACAGTAAAAAATTATAAATGCACTGAGTATTTAAACATTGAGCGAACCATTAAGTGATTAGTCACTGATTTTTCTATCTCTTTTGTGCTATGGAACTAATTTGGGTTTTATAAAAATTGTCCTTTAGAATAATTATACATTGTATTTAAAAGAAATAGAAAAAAAATAATATTATAAATAATTGATTGCTCACAGGCAAGAAGAATCTGGTGTTGCAGTTCTAATCAACACTGGATTGTGTTTATCATAGTCATGCACCAGATCTTTAATATGAGACAATTTATTATGAAGATAGTCAAAACGTGTTTTAGCTGCTTGATATTTATCATCATGTTTTCTTTCATTATATTCTTGTAATATTTGTTTTTCTAAAATCTAAAAAAAATATATTTAAATTATTAAACTATTCAACTATAGAGGCAAATAGATATTTTATACCTTATATTCATTTGAACCTTTAGGATAAAGTAACATACGATCTTTTAACTTAGCAAATTTATTTCGAACAGGATCCATAATTTCAGCCAGGTGTTTATATTCTTTATGACATTTCATGAATTCTGATTTGTATTGCTTCTTTTGCTCCTTATTTGTTATTCGCACAAAATCTCTAAAAATGAATATATTTTAAAAATCTAATGATTTTATAATAAAAATAATTATAATAATCTTTTTAAGAATTTTCATGGTATACTTACTGAATATATTTTGGTATTGGATTAGTATGAGAGGGTGCATGAGTAGGTGATCGTATTGCTGACTGAGTGCTAGATACAATTGGTGGAGGACTATTTGATAACAATTTTTTCTCAGGTGATGGTCGTTTGAAATGTGAAATACGCAATCTTTTTGTTTGGAAACCATCAGCACTATTGTAGTAACCAGGTCTTTTGTTACCATGCACATTATTAGGAGGACTGCTGGGGACAGTACTACTTGGAGATTGTTCACTGCTGCCAGAGCTTCCAGTATCACTCAATCCAGGAGGTGTTAAATTTTGAGGCTTACGTCTAAATATTAAAATCTTATTTAGAATAAACATATTGTTCATGTAAGTGGTTCAGTATTCAGATTAAATTCAAAGTGATAAATTTATCAATATCTAAAAAATTAATAAAAATGTAAGTGACTAAACAATTGTTTAAAATTATTTATTGATTGTATAATATAAAAAATGTGTATTTAATTTAATTTTATTATTTCAGCATAAAATAATATAATTTACAATTTTTACTATGAGCAATCAACTGCTTCTGATTCCTTTAATAACATACGAGCAGAAAAAAATTATTTGTTTTTTAAATAATTAGATATTTTTATAGGGGCAACTAAAACCTATTTTTTTGATGGCAATATAGCCTTCATATTTCTCCCTAATTAATATATATTAACATTTCCCCAATGCTCTTCTACCAAATTAGTATATTTGTAAATGACTTGAAATATATATAAGTTTATATCAATATTTATTTACTATAAGTCACCAAGTATGCTACTCTAATTTTAGATTTTGAGCAAAGCAACAAATGTATTGATTTTACAATGATCTATGTATTTTGTTTTTTTTTTTTTTTTTGTACATACTTTATGGAACAGTAAAAACGATTTGATTTATAAAAATGGGAGAGGTTTTTGGTAATAAATTGGCATATAAAAAAATATATCATAAAATAAACTTAGTGATCGTCTTTGCTTAGAATCGTGTTTTAAATACAATGATGTATAAGAATTCAAATTTTAACACATCCATAAAAGTGACCCAATCGACACCTAGTATACAGCAGAGTATTACCGTATTACCATTTGCATATTTTTTTCCTTTAATTATGTATTCATTTAAATTCTGATTATTGAAATTTCCAAATAAACTTAATGACCATATTTCCAATTATTTAGATTTTGAATTATATATCTAAGTATTATAACATAATAAATTTTAATTATAAATTAAATTTAAAAAATCATTATTTAATATCTTTTAAAAAAGCTTCTTTGCTAATACTGGATATTTTTAATATTACATAATACTTTTAAACAAGTAAAAAATCACTTAATAGTACAATTATTCAAACATGGATTTAGCATTTTATTTGATTGTGTTTAGATTTCTTTGGATCAGCACTTTTATTTGTAATATTTATATTGTTAAATTAATATTAGTGAAACTAATGAACATTAATTGTACTTAGTATTATATTTTTTAATGTTATCTAGAAATTAATATATTTATTATTATATATAAATAAACAAAACTTTTATCATCGTTATTTAATAATAAAATAAATACACAATTTTACTTACCGTTTTAATACAATATGATCTTGACTACTATAAAATGGCCAGTCTTCTTGTACATCATTCCAAATATGCCTTAATAGATAGTATACATTATCTTTTGCTTGTGCTACATGACTAAGAACTGACATTATTTGTGTTCTATCTTTATCTTTCAAACCATCTAAAAACATAAAATTATTAATTTAAATAAACATTAAATGTTAAACCAACTAACAATTTAAACAAACCTCTATTTAATATACTAATTAATTCTGGTTTCTTGTATGGCCTTAATGCTAAAAGATGAATAATTCTATCTCGTAATGGTTTTTTACTAATATCTGATGCATGATTGGCTGGTGAAGGGGTATGTGGGGGTATAGGTTTGGAAATTATAGGTTTTGGAACGTTATTTGTAATATTAACATTATTATAAGTATTATTATTATGACGGCTAGCTCTTATTTGAGCAGGATTTTTTCGGATTTTACGACTTAGAGCTGATTTGCTGTCAAGTTCAATTTCCCGTGTACTGTGAACAAAAAAAATAAATATATTTAATTATAATTATAATTTCTATGGATATTTATGATAGAAGTTTTATTATTAGTTGATGTTTTAAAAGTTGTTGTTTTTATTTATTTTTGCATTAGAATAAACATTTCATATCCAAATATCCTTCTAATATAAAGTTATAAGCAATAAAGATAAAATTTTTTTTTAAATAAGTAACAACTATACCATGATTTCTTATGTAATTCTTCGACAGCAACCATTCTATGTCTAGTAGCTTCATATACATCATCATTTGCAAGTACTCGTATATGTCTATTCAATGTACCAACATATTCTAATGATCTATAAACAAATAAAATAGTTTATATTTTGGCTACTATCATAATATAAATGTTTATCAATTATTGATAAAATATAATTGATGAATAATTTAAAAAAAATACCTTGAAGTATTTTGACGAATACATTCAAAGCTACTTCTAGGAGCAGCAACATCGTTATTGGATAAACTAAAGTCAAATGTATAATTTTTTGATATGCTCGGTACGCATAATTGCTGTAATGATATACATAAATATAAAATTAATAATTTAATAATTACTTAGATAGTACAAAATTAATACTTACGCCTTCATTGCCTTTAAATTGTATCCTAGGTTTTGGAAGGTTTTCTGAATTACCCTAAAAAAAAAAAGATGTACATGTATTAATATTAATTACATTTAAATTTTATTCATAGACATTTAATTTGACTAAAATATCTAAATTCTATTAATGTTGAATAATTAATGAATGGGTTAGACCTAAAAGTAGGATGAAACTGGATTATAAATTAACAAAATGAAGAATTATAATGAATTAAGACTGAAGGATCAAAAGAAGTTCATATATTTTTTTTAAATTTTCAAAAAAAATGATACATTTTAAGCTATTAAAAAAATATACAACTGATTATTATTTATTATTGAATCAGCAGGGTTCAAGTAAATTTCTATTTCTTATCTTGTTTATTGTAATAAGTTATAACAATGGTAAACAACTTAAGAATGATAAAAGCTATAGTTGATGCAAGATCAATGTTATAAATATTGCTTATTAAAATCGTAACAATAAATTATTATTTTTTAATACAGATACATATTATTATACAATTAGACCATTAAAGTATTGTAAATCTTTAAAAATGATTAAAATCACTGATAATACATTTTTTTTAAATAAATAAATGTACATAATGTTTAAATTATTTTATACACTAAAATTTAGTTTGTTGTTTGTTATTGAATTCATTAATTGTATCTTTAATGTCTTGTACTAAACACGAATTATGAACATGTTACCTTATTTAAAATATAGTGTAGATGACGCGCGAAACTATAATTATATTTATGTTTATTTATAACATAAACCAAGGAATGTTTTAGTATTATTTTCTCAGTGCCCGTGGTTAATAATATATGTTTAATTTTGCTACATAAATATATAATATAATTCATTACTTTTACCTATCTATAGGTATTATAATATGTGTAATATTAATTTTTAAAATTATTTTTATTTTTCCGGTTGAACGTACAGCTAATACCAACCGTATTTATTCGTTTTCATTGCATTGTGTTTTAAAATAACATAATTTCTGCATTATACAAGGGGGACACGTCATTTGTAACGAATAAAACATTGTTAAATGTTTGACATGTTAATACATGTATTAATAATAATAATGGATGTCAAATTATTATTGGTAGGTCATTCTCAGGCTTCGCACAGGTAGCTCTGTGAGAGAGCTGGCCTATTGACGTGGTATGACCCAAATACCAAACTCTTAGTCTGTAACAGCAGCAATAGTACATAATATATATATAAATATATAAATATATAAAAAATAGTATGGCAGCAGCGGTAGTAGCGAAACTTTCACTTTTTGTCATACAATTGGTCCTGACCTTGTCCTCAACGTAGACAAATATTTAAGCCTTGCCTTGTGTATTAATTGTATTTATTCAAGTTATGCCATTTTAGAATAACCACTAATAATAATAATGGAGTAAAACAGTTATTGCGGAGACAGTCATAGATTTTTGATAACCCATGTAAAAGCAATCGTAGAAACAAGAATCAAAATAATTACAAATATACAAATATATAAAGCCCAGCGCAATATAAAATTTAAAAAGGCATTTTTTATGTATTATTTTTTTATTTTTAATCACAAACCTTGCTAAGAAATTACAATTTGTAAGTCATAGTAATATTTGGTTGTCTTTTAGGTAAAAATCAACAATTCACTTTATCAGACGTTTTTAGGAAAACTCGATATGGTTAGATACATCGTAGATCCGTGAAAATAATATTTGAACGTATGTTATTATTATTATTATTATTAGAGTACGTACACATTTTTATTTGTTGCGTATTATTAATGTTTCTCGTAAAAAAGCGGGTGAAAGTACGAGTGCTAAAGACGAAAGGATAATTATGTTACATACATATACAATAATGCTGCTTTACAGTCAGTTAAAACCAGTTTTTACTAAACCATTACTATACAGTATGAGGAACACGAGATACGTTCTTATCATAAAGTTTTAGTCCAGATATTATTTTTATATTTTTACTGGGATACTTTGAAATTAAATAATTTTATTAAACAATAATAAATTACGGGGAACGTTATTGAGACCTACAATTTTTCAACAAGTGAATAATAAATATAATATCTAAAATATAATTCTAGTTTAAAATTAACTCAGTTCAAAATAAAATAATTTTTAGTTTCTTCAGTAATCAAAAAATATTTAATTAAAAGGATGTTACATGTATTTAAATTCTTGTTAGCTAAGTTTATCAACGATAAGGAAAGTAAAACAAAAAATAATCAAAGGTAATTTTTTTTTTTCGTGAACTATTTGACTGAATTTGTAGTGAAGAACTTTTGAAATTTTACATATAAATTAAATCCTATTTAATAAATACATCCAGGATCCAGTAAAACAAAAAGCTGTTTTCTATTGGCTATAATAAATGATATTTTCTCTAGTTCTTAAATTCATAGATTTCATACGTTTATGAAAACTAATTTAATTAGTCGTTTATACTTTGACCTTCATTTTATTTCGTCAACATTGTTGATAAGCCAGCTGACATTGTACGGAAAAAAAATAAGTAAAAAAGTAATTCACCAATGCCACTGAGTCTGTACACTTAACTATTATTTTTCGATTTACAAAAGGAAATCTAATTCAGATAGATATTCTATAATAATTAACACAAATAAATTATCATGGAAAATGACAAATAAACTACAAAACTACAATTGTTCAATTCGTTTTATTTAAATAGTAATACTATTTACGACGATTGTAATAAATTATTAAACCTCAACAATGATAGTATAGTTATTAGTTTTATGACTTACGACGATTTTATGACACAATCGATGTAGGTATATTATGTAGAGCTAATCCCCACGTAATAATCATAGAATAAATTACTGTTTACTATTATTGTTAAACTCAATATTTTTATTTAGTATGGATACAAATATTATATAACCTATTTAATATTATTTTTTTTTTTTTATTAAATATCTGTTTAATTTGATAAAAAATCCACATTTTTTATTATTTAATTATAAGTTTAGGTAGTAAGATTTAAAACAGTTTTTATAGTCATGCTTATATTAAATATATTTTACAAATTCAATTGTATACAAAAACAAAAAAAAGCATCAGTATCAGTGGCGTAACTATAAAATTCTAGCCCATGTGCAAAATTATTTTATGGCCCCTAAAAATCGTTATATGAATAAAATTAGACAATTACACGTATATATAAAATGTATAATTATATTATGTATTATAATATTTATAATTCATAAAATATATCATAATTAATTAAATTATATTTATACATGAAATAAATGACATAATAATATGTATTTTTATACTCTTCGTAATATAAAAGTTTTATCGTAGTATATTATTATAAAATAGTTTAAAATTATTAACAAAATATAAAATTTTAATATATTTTAAACAAAATATTAAAATTCTAGGGCGCCCCCTTTTGGACCGTCTAGGCCCCGGGCCCCGGTGTAATGCACACCTATGCAACCATGTAGTTACGCCACTGAATTCAGTATTTAATCCGTTATACACTTATACCGGTGTTTTAAATTGAAATATTTTTAACATAGTTGCCAAATCGTAATTGAAGAGATAAAAACGAGTTTCGGAAACAGAATAAAAATGGTTAGGTTAAATTAATTTTTATAACGGAATTAATTCATTTATAAATAATATTCAAGGACAATGAAATATCTGTGTATATTTAAAATATAAACCAATCTTTCTATAAAAACTCAAATATATTTATGCAAAAAAAGTAAATATATAGTATTATAACATATCGATCCATTATGAGTTTATATACCTAACAGTATAACATTACTAGAAAACTTTTAATGTATAATGACAATATAAAATATGATAAAATTTTTTAATTTAGCATGTCTATTAATAGATTTTTTAATGCTGATAAATAATTCAGAATTCGATATTTTATATTAATAACGATCAAAGTCATGTTATTTGTTTTTTAAATAAGTATCTTAAAGTGTTACAAGAAAAAGTAAAAATAGCTTTAGTCACCTGGTGCATTCTCGGGATTTTTATTCGAAGAGTTAGGGAGGTTTATAAATTTATTTTGCTTTCCTTTTAACACTAACACTAATTTTTAATAATCATTTTTTTTTTGTTTTATTTTTTAAAAAAACATCATTTATCATTGTAATATATTATTTTAAATAAAACAAAATAGTAGAATAATGGGTACTCTAAAAAATATTTTTTTGAGGGTGCATTAGCCCCAAAGGCCCCCACTTTTCGCCTCCTTTTTGTATTACACAAGCTAAAATAAATCGATTATTAGGTTTTATAAAAAGCTGTAGTTCTTTTTTTGGAAACTATAGATGCATTTTAACGATTCCTATCTTGGTAGCTTATTCAAACCTTTTTAATCGGGTAAAATGAGTTTTAATTTAACACAATTCATAACATTAATAATAATAAATTTTGATAAAAAATAATGTTTAAAAATTTCAATAACTAAACATCAAATGATCACATTTGTACTTGTAAGTATTTTAGGTTTTAGTAGAGTAAACTTAAGTAAAACAAAAACTTGAAAAAATGATATATTTAACCTTCTTATAATTTTCTGTTTTAATGGATTTTGAATATATAAAAAATATATTCTATTTAATAATAGCAAAATGCCAAAATATACTTCCCAGAGATGATTGTTAATTTTTATTTAAAATAAATAGGTAATAATTAATTTAAATTGTACAAATAAATTTACCTAATACTTAAAATATCTATTAAAAAATTAATCAGCTCAAATTAATATTGTTCTTCAAAATTAACATGATACAATATTATTCTAGATGTATATTGCATAAGGACTGTAGAAAATATTTTATAACTAAAAAATAAATTTAAATACCTATACATAATAAACACATTTCTTGAAAAAAACTCTTTTTATCATAGTGTACCAATAATGAACACCACAAAATAACTTTAAAATAAAAATAAAATAATAAAAACTATTGAATATTTTAAATTTACACAATACTGTATGGCACTTACACTTTCAGATTTTCAAAAAATTGTTTCTCATTTATTTAACCATAGGTAATGTTAAAGATAAAATTTAGATAGTGATATATTTATTACTGTAAAACCATTATTCAATTTAATATGGAAGAAAAACAATATTTTATAAAATTAAAAACAATATAAAACATGATATTATAGGTAGGTTAATACAGGCGACAGACTGAGAGGTATGTTGTATGAGATCCAGTAGTAAGAATTCTACAATGATAAACGAATAACATTTAAAAAACAATAATGCATTTTTGTTTTCCTCGGTTCATATAATAAACTAGCTTAGAATATCTCTTTATATATAATTTAGTTATAAAAATACCTAATAACCTAATTCTAACTATTAAAATATTATCAAAAAATTACTATAAACTTAAATTATAAATACTTAATACATTCAGTGGACATCTATTAATAGAATTAAAACACTGTACCAACATGATTACATATGGTACTTCTCACTATAATACTAAACAGTTTGTTTAAAAAATACAATAGCTTATACCCACATAAGATTAGTTGTGCAAATGAAGATGATAAAGAATAATTAAACCTTTAAACTCTTAAGGATTAGCAAATATTGATTGAAATATAATATCCTAACTTGAAAAAATATAATACATCTATTCTCAATCTAAATATAACATTTTATTTCTTTACATTACATAAAGAAACAAAAATGATTTTTATTTACTCAATTTATAAATTAAAATAATATATTCTCATGATGATTTAAAAATAACTCTAATGCTTTATGGTAAAATAAAGTACTTTTTAAAATAGTTATAACATGAATTTTGGTCAACTATAAGTAATTTATGCAATTTATTTTAATGTTTGTATAATTTATACATAATATTAAATAATTTAATATAATTTTTGAAAGCTACAGGTTATTACAATAGACAAAAACAATTAACTATAAATTATAATACAATTCTAGTTTTAGCTTTATTGTGAATGAGATAATAGCAGACGGAAAACAAATATAAAAATTGCAATTTTTATTATTAATTTCTTAATGGATACCTACCTAGATAATTTTAAAATTAATAGTGCTTTAATATTTTTAATTGGATTCTCATAAATACTTCACTTAATTTAATTTTACAAATCTACTTATTTTAAATTCAAAATAAATAAAACAATACCCACATCAGTTTTTTTGGTATTGATAACATATAAGAAAAATTATTTATGAAAAAAATGTTACGCTATTAAGATAACGGTAACTTCTTTTTCAGTTTTAGTAAATAGATAGCTAATGAATGTTTATGTGTATTTTTATTTGACTACACAGCCAAGTTAATAAATGTACTTGTGTAGTAATAGTTTTCATAATAACTTAGGTTCAATAAGTAATAATTTATGAAAGATTTCTACAGAATTTGGCATAACTGTCTTAAAAGTTAAGAAATCTAGTTTTATAAACAATATAACTAGTATAATAGTATCTTTTTAAGGATTTGTGCATAAATATATTTATTTTTTTAAGAATTTGCTACATTTTATAACAGGAATATTTTTATAATTTTTTATCATGCAATTTATAAATTAAATTTCTTTTAAATAGGTGAAATTATTAAAAAGAGCATCTATTTACCAGACTATTGAAACAATTTATTGCTATAGCTATGGCACCGAATATTTTTATCCAAACATTAAAAATAATTCATTTACCTAATGAAGATTGTAAAATATTTGTTACATAATCATTTGAGAAGGCCAAAAGTAAGGTAACAAAAATAATTTTATTTAGACCTACCTACAAAACAAAAATTATGTTCTTAGATAAAATATGAAGTTTTAAATCTCTCTGTTAGCAAATGTTTTGCAAACTAAATTAACAAAGTTTTTTCTATGTATAAAAGTATAAATGTATTGAACTACCTAGAATTTAAATAGGAATTAATGTAATTCAATAAAAAATTAAGATACATTTAATATAAAACACTAAAATAACTTAATCAAAATATGATTTAAGAGATACAAATATACAAGAAGTGTATCTCTAACGTGTTTATAATTATCTAATATTATTAAAAGCTACTCGAAGGAAAATATAAAAATTTATTGTTCAGTTAGATGTTCTAGTAAAATTTTATGGATTTTAAAAATATGTTAGTTAATTTATGCTGCTGTACAAGTTGGTGAATAGTAATTTATTTACATAAAAATTAATTTAATTTCAATTATAATTATTAAAAGTTTTAAGGATAAGTCTAACAAAAATGAAGATTTAATTATATGTGTCACATTAACAATATTATTATGAAAGTATTGTCAATTTGTACATATAAGTTAGATATATTATGCTTGTTTAAAAATTGGTAGGTATAAATTCAACTCTAGCAGGAATGTTAAGATAGTGGACAACAGTTTATAACATCGATATGTAAACAATATTGAAAACCAGCTGTTTGAAACATTGAGAAACATCAGGTTCAGAAATAACAGACAGACATTTGCTTAATTCAATAGATTGTTGGATATCTTCCATTGTCAATTCTAGAGATTGTCAAAATGACTGTGGAAATAAAAATCAAAAATAAAAACGAGAGGTGTGTTGATGGCTGAAATCGATTTCAAAGTCAAGCAGATATTGGTCGATTAAAATTGAAGACCTTGTGAAATAAGTAGCGAAAAATCGGGGTCGCAAAGGTAGGTTAAGTACTCGGAACGAGTGGTGCGAGTTGATATTCTGGCCAAAAAAATCGAAGGACCGACGAGGAGTGGATGTGTGGACGTGGCCGGAGGGAAACGAGTCGCGCGAGACGAGCGCAAGAATAATCGTGTAGGCAACGATTGAAAGGACAAAGGCCCCATAAGCGGCCAAAACAAACGGTCGCCGAGAGAAAAGATCGTTATGTAAATCACTAAAAGGTCCGGCATTTAGGTCTCGTTCTTACCTGTTGACAGCACCGCAGGTAATCCTCAACGGCCTTCAGACAGGAATCGGTCAACTTGACGAAGAACAGCGTTTTGTTCTTGCCCGTCCTCTGTTTGGGCATAAGGCCATTGTTCTGGTTCGACGACAGACTGTATTGCACCCCGGCGGTCAAAGCGGACATCGCGGCCGATATGTCGTGGCGACTGGCGACTGTTTGCGGGCGCGTTCTCGGTACACGGTCGGCGTCCTCTCGTCGTCGTCAATAGAGAGAGGAAAACGATTTCTTTTTGGAAAAAAAAAATTAATTTTTTTATTATTATTATTATTATTACATCTACAAACGAATCATAATCGCAAAAGCGACGATCGCGGACATGTACGCATAGGGAAAAGATTACGAGACTACTATTAATTATTACATTAAATACGAGTTGTATTACACTACTTCGATAGCTGATGGTAATGGTACGAGATACCAGGTGCACACGGGTCCGCCGCGCTGATACGCACACTCACACACCTGGGCCTCCCGGAGTAGTGACGTCACGGACATACGATGTCTATAGGACGGCGCGACGGCCAACGATTGCCCCGTACACCATAGACGTCGTCGCGCAATATAGGATCAGCGACCAGCTGCTGCAGCTGCTGAAAGTTGACGCAACACAGTTTTTTGTGATTACCTCGCTGCCGCCGCCATTCGTCCTACTGTCGATTACTACCACTACAGTGCCATTACCACCACAGTGCCACTATTGCTACAGTGATACTATTTACACTACTGTTAAATATTTACTATTATAATAATAATTGTTTACGCAATACCGTCGACCGTCATTCGATCATAAATAATAAAAGGATTATAAAATCTGCATATTATACTTCAGTGCGCAGGAGTTTTCCCCATTGACCAAAATAAAACGTGTTCGAATTTGATGTCTGATTATAATATTATATACTCGAAGTCAATGAAGGTAGTATCATCAGTGGCGTATTTACAAACTTATTTTTATTTATTAATTTTTTTTTTTGGGGGGAAGGGGTAATTACAATAGTGAAATAATTTTATAAATCCGTAAAAAATTCTTAAACTCAATTTTAGTCTGTTTTTATATTATTTTTGAGAGTGGACCCAAGCTCTCCCCCCATAAATACACCACTGAGTATCATAAGGGTAATTTTTTTTGAGATCATTAAGTTTAACTCATTATTTTGATATTTTTCGATTTTATAACTGCAAAATAAGATTATAAAAATTAAAAACCTTAACCTTTAATTATGAAAATCTTAAATATGAGTATTTTAACATGGGTATTCTTGTTTTTTCTTCATTTTTGTAAATGTTGTAATGGTATAATATATAAACTGAAACGATAATACAGTAATTTTTATATTATGTTATAATATACTATAACAAAAGTTCCCAAACTATGGGTTGCGATCATATTTTGTGGGTCGCAGTCGTGTTATATTTTTAAATTGGTAATACATTTTTTTAGACATAATTATGTTTTTACCATATTAATATGGTTATTAAAATCGGAAAAGTAAAAAAAAAAAAAACTCATTAGATATAAAATCTAGCAACACCCATCATGTTATTGTGATTTGTGGGTCGCCAAAATTTAAATAATTTCCAAAATGGGTTGTGCCATAAAAAATTTGGGAACCTCTGTGTCTGTCTATAGTATACTGAGTACTCCATAACTCATAAGTATATCGTTAAGTCAACTTAACTTGTGGTAAATTTCCTGTTGCTTGATTGGGTTCAAGCAACCACTATCCATGTCTTGTTAGAACAAATTCCAATTTACTTATATTGCAGTGATACTACTCATGCGACACCCGTGCAATAAAAATCGGCAAACGCATACAATTTTAGGCCGTGTTGCCGTCCCAAAGCGCCTTTCGAGACATCGAAACGTTTCTGAGAAATCAGACTAAACAAAAATAAAACGGTTTACTGAGGGCCGTATTCGTATGTACATGGAGTATAGGGAAATAGTTTCTTTCTTTATTTTCATTTCTTGCTCAACAAGCGTGGCACGGTGGGAAGATCGGCCGGTGGTAGTGGTGACCAGGTGTTCGAGCTGGGAGCTAGTCGCTGGTAAACATAATATTGCACAGGGGTGCGTATTATTATTACTATTATTTTATTCTGTACCCCACAAAGCCCCCACAGTAATCAGCGAATAATAGCTATATATATTATACATATGAGCGACGGACTTAAATTATATAGTAATATGTGTTATAGACAACAGGGTCTTAAAAATCTTAAAAAAAAAAAAATGTTGAGGATAAACATATACATAGTAAAGAATTGAAAGATCTTTAGGGAATAGTTTTGCGTGTATTATTTTGAAGTCAAGGTCTAGGGTTTACTTGTGGTGTACGAGTTAATATTTATAACAAGTATTACATATTTATAATTATTATATATTATAAGTATTTATAACTTATACACAGTTTAAATGTATTATATTATCTAGACTGACACCGTAATTGAGCTTAAAATATACCTATACCTAAATTAATGTAACAAATAATAAAAATGTTTAACGCACACATGCATACATAGATATATGTATTTATAATATCTAATATTTTAATCTTAATGTGTTTTTTACTACTGTGGTATTCACCACTCGATTACTCTTTCCAGCAACGAGCAACCCCTTCTACGCGATGTAACACTATAATATAATATTATAGCATAACATTATACAGAGTGAAACATTTAAATGAAAACACTTATTCATATTGCGTTTTTTTATTTTATAAGAACTGTTTCATCTATATAGTTTGAACCTTGAAGTAAATATTTTATAACACTAAATTAAAAAAAATAGTTATTTTTGTCGATGGTTTTTAATTTTTTTTTAATGACAAGTCAAAAACCTATATCTGTACTGTATATATATATGTATGAGCAGAAATAGCTGAATATTAGACTTATAAAAATACTTAATGTTTAAAAATAATTGAATTAATTAATTTTTAAAGTTTATATAAGCAGCGACATATTATTATATTATAGGGATATTATAGTAGTGTAACTTTTGTCTTCAGTGATATTGCGTCTGCTATTTTAATTATGTACTATACTTCAGTACCGCTAGAATATATATAATAACAAAATATTTATTTAGCAATTTTTTCAATATTTATACATCAGCGATTTCAGAAAAAGATTCTGTTACTGATTATAAGATAAAAATATATTAAAATAATATATAAAATTTTAATAATAATAAAAAAAAAACAATTTACAATAAAAATATTTAGAAAAGTGTAACCATTAATAAGGATTACATTGTATATAAATCTATATTATATATACGTACGTAAAATAATACGCGTAGGTACTAGGTATACTATTACACATAATACTTATTTATAAAGGTATGTACCTATATGTAATTCTATCGAAAGCGTAAATGATTTTTACTCTACAGACTACAATAATATACATATAATAATATAAATCACTGCGCACGCTACGTTGACTATAAAATAATAATAGTTATAATAGATATTGTGTATGGCATGTATAGTTATCACGTTGTATTTGGATTTACCTACCTATCGGTACACGATTATTCAATCAAGGAGCCCGTAAATCGTTTGAAATTCCAATCTTGATAAAAAAAATAATAATAATAGTAATAGGTAATATAATGAGAATGATTTGCGATATTCTGCTTTTCTGCCGTAGCTATATACCTAGGTACCTACATAACATAAACTATATAAGTGTATACACAGTGTCGTGCAGATATTCCAATAAAAGACACACGTAACTCCCTCTATAACCCACCGACCAGTCTCACAACCAGTTATAATATATTTGTCTGTATTAAATTTAATACACATTTATTTATTAAACGGCGGTTTTTTACGTATATTTCATCATTCCAATAATACTTATATATAATATACATGTATGTACGAACCAATGATGTGAATGTAATTATATACACGTAAGCATATATATATATACACGCCTAACACTTGAATATATTAAATATATATAACATGACTGCGTGTATTCGTAGTGGGGAGATTCCGGATTCCCCTCCACTTAAAATGGTTTCAAAACGATAATTTGTTTTAATAGTATATAATCGTATATAGATATACACTTTATACATATATAGGTTATTTGTGATTTTTTTCACCTAAATACCTCGTCACATATACTTCACCCGGCTCACCACATCCAAAAAAAAAAAAAAAATGGACAAATATTAAGACGCATGGTAAACAATCAAATTCGTCACAATATAGGTATAACTAATATGTAATATCTAATACATAAATACCTAGCTAAAGACTATAAGATGATGTATGCTAATATGTATAACATTTCTTATTTATATATTATGCTGTAATAATAATATTATAATATTATATCAAATATGACGATGTATCTACTTATATATATATATATATGAAATACAATATTAGATATTAGGTAGATACTGTATTATATTCTCGTAATGATGAAGCTTGATAAACAATGAGTATATTATATTAATTATCTTAACGACTTAACCGAAGTTAAGTGTAGTATAACATTAAATTTACTTAGGTAGTTAGGAATTATTTAACTTTGAAAAGATAACTTTTATTAATTATTAATATAATATGATAAAAATAAAATTCTCTTACTACAAGCATCATTATTGCACTAGTTTTTATAATTGTATTATTTTGCGTATGATGAGTATTTTATGCATGATATGTGTATTACATCATAATATATATTATATATATATATCGATGACAAATTACTTAGGTATAATCTATAGTAGGTATGTAAGCAGGGTAAATTAACGGATGACGAATTAAAATTTAAAATCATATACATTTTTATTACCTATACTCTAAATTCTAGACAAAAAAAAAAAAATTCTTTATAACAAAAATAGTATGACATAAGGGAACATAGTAAAATGGTAATCCTAAGTATTTTTTTTAGTTAAATATCGATTATGATTATTTATTATTTATTTAAGAGTCTATAGGTGCTTTAACTTTAAAAGTTTAATTCAAAACTGATAGGAGGACGTAGGAAGATACAATACTCCCAACGATTTATATTGTTATGTATGGTGAACCAGTATACCACTTTAATTTTCATCTTATCTAAACTCTAATAACAATAATTAATATAAATACTAAAATACTTGACTTTATCAAGCATAAAATATTATGTATTATATTATTAGCTTATAGGTATCAGAAAAATATTCTGCTGCATAATGTAAAATTCAAAATACACCTTTATTTAATAAAAATGTAAAAATATGAAAAATCATATTTTTATTTTTCCCAAAATAATGGCAAAACGTAAAAATGCATTCAACATTTAGAGTTTACAAAACAATTATTTATATTTACTCTTTTT